TTTCCCCAAATATTATTAGTGGTTACCAGGGTTAAGAGGGAAGGGGAAAGGGGAAACTTTTGTTTGCAGGCCATTGAGTTTATGCTAATGGTGGTGTAATATTTTGGAAAAGGATACCAACGATGGTGGCGCAACATGAAAAATGTCATCAATGTCCCTGAGCTGAAAAAGTGGAAACTGTTATGCTTTCAAATGTCTTGTGTATGTTTTCACTACAATAAAAGCAAGGGGGGAAAAAAAAGGAACCACATTTGTCACTTTATATCCAAGTTTTGATGAGCAGTGTGAAATAAAATTTAAAAATAGCCACCTTTGGTTTTAAAGGGCTTCTCTTATTCACAAGCCTAAAAAAAAAAACCCTTTACCCCAAACTGCAAAAGTATTCTAATCTTGCTTGCAGCTTTGTTAAGTTGTTTTTCACCTCAAATTGCTAAACTACTCTGCAGAATTGTAAAGTACCCCCCTCCCCCTCCCCAACCTCGTAAAAACCCATTACACCTCTCAATTTAATGAAGATTGTATTTCCTCTAGGAGCTCTGGTAGCACAGTGCCTAAGGCATCTGACAGATAACCAGAAGGTTGGTGGTGCAAACCTACCAGCCACTCAGCGGAAGCAAGACTAGTCAATCTACTTCTATAAAGATTTAGCACCTCAGAAACCCAATGGAGGTGGATATGAGTCAGAATTGACTTGATGCCAGTGGGTTTGGTTTGGTTTGGTATTTCCTTTAACTTAACTTCAAGGAGTCTCATAGTTGCAAAAATGTGAATAGCCATATTTTCCACTGTCACTTTTTTAATGCTAAATCGATATTGTAAAGTACTGTTACTGTGGAAAATCATATTCATTAAGAAAAAAACAGAAACATGTATTTAACCCTCTGTAAAATCTCTAGTCCCCAGGAATATTTTTCTTCTTGCAGGGAGAGATGCTTCTCCAATTTACAAGTTGTCTATTAAATCATAAAGCAAACAACTGTTTCATTATTTTGTGCTAATACCAAAGTTTATTTTTAACATTTCTTTTGTGGTAACAGAAACTTCTTTCCACAATAACTCCACATTGCCAAGCTGAATCAGGTGTGGTACCTGGTGCCATGTGGTTTAAATCCCTTAAACTGAGCATATACATGCTTTTCAGTGCTGCTCCTTGAGATTGCTTCTTTGATTTCTCTCCTCTGGTGGCACAGCGGTCTAAACATTCAGCTACTAATGAAAGGTTGGCAGTTCCAACCCACCAACCACTCCACAGGAGAAAGATGAGGCAGTCTGATTCCGTAAAGATTTATAGCCTTGGAAACCCTATGGGCAGTTCTACTATTTTGGAAAAGGTCAATGCGAGTTGGTATCAACTCAATGGCAGTAGGTTTGGGTTTTTTCTTTTTCTTCTCAGGCTAAGCACAGGTTTTCATTCTACAACTGGGTTTTGATTTCAAGTCTTGAGAAATGCCCTCTTGGTGGGCATGGGATGGAAAGTTTAGAAACTGACAGTTTTTAAAGCTAGGTTATGGGCACATGGGGGTTCAATGTACTAGGCTTTGTTTCTGTTTGAAATATTTTATAATAAAAAGAAAAAAAAAGTCAGGTGTCTTTCAGTTAAAATCAAGTCTCCTATGTCAGGATAAGCTGGTCTTACTCTCACCAGCGGCAAGATGATACTCATGTAATATACAGGCTATTTTTAGGAAAAACTTTCTCTGGCTTTAAAGTAAGTTTATTAAAAATTTCTCAAAGAGATGCAAATCAAAACAACAATGAGATACCATCTTGCTCCAGCACTAGTATCAAAGTTCAACAAGACAGAAAATAACAA